AGTTGGTGACACATTTTTTTATGAACAATTTCATTTTATAAATACGGTTATACGAGTATATTTTGCATCAGCTGCTTACCAGACATGTTGTTTATTTAAAAGAAAATATTGTTGATTTCTATTGTTTACATATTCACGCTACACATGCCTTACCAAATGGTAACGTAATTCATAGAGAAGTAACGTAATTCACAAACATCACATATCGTTTCAGGGCGATAATTAAAAGCAGGGCCGAGATTCAGCGAGCCTATAGGGAACGAAAAAAAGCAAAAGAAGGATGAAACTATCTAAAAAAAGAGACAAAACGAGTCAAATGTTATTACAAGCCAACCACAGAAATAGGCCTTTATAAGCTTAAAACCAGGCGGGTGCGCGTTCGAAAAAGCATGCAAAGACTACGACAAAAACAGAAGGAAGTCAACAATAATGAGCTCAGTCGTGCAGGAGAAGAAGAAAGTAAAATACAGAATCATGAAGCGATAAACGATGATCAGTCACCAGGACCATGTGATTCAACCACAATGAACTTAATGCCAAGTACATCATATAGGGAGAAAATCAAAAAAAGGTTGTTAACATGAAATTCGCCGAGAAAAGGGAAAGCTGGAAAAATAAACATTGTGTTAAGAAAGCAAACACAAAGTTACAGGAATTAGAATCACGCCTTTAAGCATTAAAAAACACCTTACTCAAACGACTGCAAAGGGCTAATTCTCAATCTCAACAAACGCCAAAATCAAAAGAATTAAACGCTAAAGAAACCGACAAAAAACGGAAACTTCCCGAGATTACATTTAATACACCAATGACGCCAAGAAGCAAGTCTGTTGATTTATTAAGAAGTGAAGGCCTAACACCAAAAAAGCACCCAAAACTCATAAAGCAGCTAACATTCCACAACAGTATCGCAGAAGAAGTGAAACGAAACATAGCTCCTAGCGGTAGAGCATGGAATGACATCAAATTCAAGTAGAGCACTTGGAGTAAACAGGGGCCAAATCAATAAAGCGGGGACAGGGACATTAATTCAGAAACGTAGAAAGGCATTTCAAAAATTGCAAACGTCAGAAACAGTGAAATGCTTTTTAGAGCGCGATGACAACAGCACCTGCCTACCAGGAAAACGAGATAAACTGAAAACAAAGTCTGGTATGACTCAAACGAGAGTACTTAATGATTATCTCTACAATTTGCACCTAGAATTTAAGTCTGAAAATCCGCACATAAAAATAGGATTCACATCATTTTATAGCTACAGAGCAAAGCACGTAAAACTGGTGCAATTTAGTGCCCGAAGAACATGCTTATGTCAAAAACATCAAAATATGTCACTGAAGGTAAAAGATTAACATCTATTTTGGTCCATTAAGAATTCCGGTGAAATTCTGGATAAATTAAAAATTAAGAACTATCGGGCTTCAACTGTCAGTACATACGATTTTTCTACCCTTTATACTACACTGCCACATAATTTAATTAATGATGAACTAATTTCCCTTATTCAGAAAAACTTTGTACGGGAAAAAGTTACATTTCTTGCATGTAGCTCTCAAAAAGCCTTCTTTACAAACTGTATTGTTAAACAATGTACTATGTGACGAAGTTTGTAGAGCACTCTCTTTTCTTTTAGACAATATTTATGTCAGGTTTGGTAATACCTTATTCAAACAAATCATAGGAATTCCTATGGGTACTAATTGTGCACCCCTGGTCGCCGATTTGTTTTTGTATTGCTATGAAAGAGATTTTATGTTAAGTCTCTCTGAAAATACACAACAAGATGTTATATCTGCATTTAATAACACTTCCAGATATCTTGTTGACATTTTTAATTTAGATAATTTTTTTTTTGATCAAATGGTGTCTAATATATATCCTACGGAGCTACAACTTAATAACTTAATGCTTCCGAGGGATCACTTTGTTTCCAGAATTTTGTACTTCACAACAGCAGGTGTCAAGTGCTGTGTGGCAGCCGTAAAAAGTTGCCCCGTACTTCACTTCAGTGTTGTTATATTTTCTGGTCCTTCGGGATCATTGATGCCAACACTATAAAGTGTTGAGAATTGAGTACCGCTCAAGCCGGTGCTAGGGGGCGTGAGGGATGTTGCACTTATACATTATCCCTCATGTACAGACTCAATCAAACCGAGTCTGCAATTCTTATGTTATTTTGTTGTGATTAATGCTTCCGAGGGATCACTTTGTTTCCAGAATTTAATAAAACGAATTCTTGAAATTTAACTACACCATTTTTGGATCTTCATATCACTATCAAAAACAATTCGATTCCCACGAAAATTTATGATCAAAGAGATGACTTTGATTTTAGTATAGAATATTATCCTCATTTGGATGGAGACGTACCGCAAGCAACATCTTACGGGGTTTATATATCTCAGTTAATTAGATTTGCTAGAGCTTGTAGCAACGTTAAGGATTTTAACGAGCGAAATATTTTCATTACCGGTAAGCTTCTAAAACAGGGCTACCGCTATTATAAATTACGTATATATATATATATATTTTTTTTTTTATAAAATTTTACAATCGTAACTTTGATTTAATTTCAAAATTCAATAGTGATCTAAAAACATTTCTGCGACAATGGATTAGCCAGCCTGATTTTTACGGTGATGTTGTTTACAAACTTATTCCTTTTTATTACTTGGGGACCATACGCCGCTTTTCATGGAATAACACGGAAGTGTCACATTGAAGGTTCCATGATAACCGCCGTATGAACACATCTGCGGATGTTTCTAAATTCAAAATTTTACTATTTCACGTTTAAATGTTGAATTCTGCTTAAGCCGGTGCAAGGGGGCGTGGACGGTAACTTGCACTTTCCAGTACCGTCCATGAACAGGCTCAATCAAACCGAGCCTGCAACATTTATAATTTTGCCGTGTTGGGCTTTCTTTAGGGATTCTGTATTTATCTATTTCCTAAGCACATCCGTGTTATTTGTGCCGTGTGGCGGCTGTAAAAAGTCTCCCCGTACATTTAATCAATGATGTTATATTTTCGATCCTTGAAGATCGTTCAGCACGACATTATTGTTATGCTTGTGGTATTTTTAGGTTCAACTTTTCGGCATTTTCTAATTGGGTGGTTCCAATATTCCTACTTGAATAATGTTGAATCACCCTTAGGAAATGTTGCCTGCTTTTTAAATTTGTCTTTTGACGTCTTATCTGTGATATGCAGGCTTCATAACCTCTGATCCCCTTTCAAAATTCCATTTTATTTAGTTCCGCCCATTGTTTTCTCGTTTAGGGCACACGCTTTTAATTACTTGGGGACCACACGCCGCTTTTCATGGAATGGCACGGAAGTGTCACATTGAAGGTAACCATGATAACCGCCGTATGGACACATCTGCGGATGTTTCTAAATTCAAAATTTTACTATTTCACGTTTAAATGTTGAATTCTGCTTAAGCCGGTGCTAGGGGGCGTGGACGGTAACTTGCACTTTACAGTACCGTCCATGAACAGGCTCAATCAAACCGAGCCTGCAACATTTATAATTTTGCCGTGTTGGGCTTTCTTTAGGGATTCTGTATTTATCTATTTCCTAAGATCTTGGGTCATTGTAATTTTTCTGTTGTGTTTACTAAAATTATAAAATGTTTTATTAAAAGGAGTTATGACCCTACTATTTTAAGACTTACCGCATGCTTAGTGTTCAACCCATTTACAGTTGGACACTACGCTTTCCTCTTTTGATTACATCTGACGGGCCAAGTGGGAGACTATATGATGGACAGTTCTTAAAGCCCTTTGGGACTGAATTGCCTTAATGTTTGTCTTCTGTCTTGCTTCGTCGGGCCCTTGTAGGTAATTTTCTTGTTGCTCTGTCTTCCTTTAAAACATCGAGTACATTTGTTATAATCATTGGGTTTACTTTTATATGTTTCAACATGATCATTTTGGTGTTATACTTATTTAACCTTTTGTAACCGTAACAACTGTTAGAATTTCACTTGGCGGGGATTTATTTTATTAACACTGTCTCGTTTATAGGAACATGGTGGGGCTAAGAGCGAGGTTTGGTGCACCAACCGGTTTAAACTCCTCAGTAGTCATTATGATGCTGCTGACCGTTCCAAGGCGGCGCCCCTCTGTGTTCCTCAGATGTATGTCTATGTTATTGGCGTCCGCGCCGAAGCGCGGCGCTCTTATGGAATGAGATCAGATTTTGTGAAAGGGCGACAGCAACTTCTCGAGCCTTTTAGTCGGTCATAATAAAAGCCGAAAATTCCGATCGGTATGAGGGTGCTTGATTATTAAATAAGAATGAAATGTCGCGATATGTTACAATGAATTTTCGCAATGCAAACATTTACAAATGAAATAACCTTTTCCGTCAATAAATCGCGCTCTTCGGGGTTTTTTATTTATCATTTTGTAGTACACAGTCGGTTATCATGTCATGGTATGTTATTGTTGTACATGTATCCTAGAATGATCAGTTGATGACCTAAATATTCCAAAAAACTATTTATAGATATATCTTTTTATCACTCCTATCGGTAAATGCCGGTCTCTCCCGGTCTATTTTGACCAGGATTTACTAGTGACCGGCGAACAGAGCTGTATTACTGGTACTGGTACTGCAGTACGTACTGCAGCGATTTTGCAAGTACTGGTACTGATACTGAATTACTCTTACAAAATTTTGCTTCTACTGGTACTGCTACTGCATTACTGTCTTAAAAAGTGGTACTGCTACTGCATTACCCAGTACTTTTGGTTTTGATAAAAATTAAAAATAGCATCAATTTTTCTCATAAAATAAAGCTGTAAATTACATTAACTATATTTTATTTTTATGAAAAAGTAAGTTATCAAATCTAAAGATAATTTGCTGCAATATTCCTTCAAATGTTAACATAGTATTCATCATAAAAAGCACCAAAGTAAAAATTAAACTAAGATAAACAGACTCAATAACTCTTTACACTAAAATATCCTTATTAAATCCATTATTTATTAGTCCTATCTGGAGATATTGCTCTAAACCCAGGCCCAGTAAAATTTCCATGTGGAAAATGTGCCAAACCTGTTGCCAAGAACCATCGAGCTATTTATTGCGAGGCATGTTATTACTGGTGGCATATCAAATGTGCAGGGATGTCTTCGGAAAAGTATAAAAGTCTGTCAAACAGCGAGGAACCATGGTTATGTGATCAATGTCTACTTTTTCATTTTACTGACTCTTATTTCGAAGAAAGTGAAAGCAACCTATCAACCCAAAGTTTGGAAAAGGAAGAAAACACACATTCTATTTTTGAAGAACTAAGATCTACAAGATCAAAACATATAAATAAATTTATCACAGCTCATCTAAATATAAACAGTATAAGAAATAAATTCTGTGAAATTCATGAACTACTGTTGGATAAAATAGTTGACTTATTATTTATTTCTGAAACAAAATTAGATTCAACATTTCGTGATGGCTTATTTGATATTCCAGGCTATAAACTCCAAAGAAGGGATCGTACATCTTCTGGCGGTGGTATTGCTGCATTTATACGAAGTGACATTCCAGCAAGACGAAGAAAGGATCTTGAACATGAACTAATCGAAAGTATATATTTTGAGGTAATCCTAAACAAAACAAAATGGATAATATCATGTGTCTACAGACCACCAAATATGTCTGACAGTCAATTTTTCAATTGTTTAACTCCAAATGTTGATAAACTTATAACTCAGTATGACAATGTTATGTTACTTGGTGACTTTAACTATGATTTACTTCAAAAAGAGAAGGGAAAACCATTGATGGATTTTATTGAACTATTTGATTTTAAAAATCTAATACAATCTGCAACATGTTTTATGAAAAATTGTACTCCTTCCCTTTTGGATGTCATCTTAACTAACTCTAAGCCTCTTTGTATGAAAACAATGAATTTTGCAACTGGGATTAGTGATTGTCATAATATGATAAGTACAGTGATAAATAACACCAATTCCAAAAAATCAGAAAATTAAAATTAGTTATAGAAGCTTCAGAAAATCTTGATATTAATTCACTAAATATTGATCTTTCTTCCATAGTAGTTCCTACCCCTGATAGTATACAATGCTCTGAAGAAAATGTAAATAAAGTATATGAAACTTTTGAACAGGATATCCAACAAATTTTTGACAAACATATTCCTATAAAACAGATGTATAGAAAATCAAAACAACTCCCATACATGAATAGAGAACTTAGAAAAGCAATATATAACAAAAAAATGTATTATAATAAATATTTAAAATGTAAAAATTCCAAAACATGGGAACAATATAGAAAAGCTAGAAATCATGTAAATAAGATAAAGAAAAAGTCAATAAACAATTATTTTAATGAAAGGTGTATAGGAAAGGCCATGGGTGTCAAACTACTCTGTTAAGACTGCTTGAGGACTGGAGACAGGCCCTGGATAACAATGAATATGTGGCAGCAATTTTGATGGACTTATCTAAGGCATTTGATTGTCTGCCACATGACATTCTTTTAGATAAGCTAAAAGCATATGGCTTATCAGGCCCTGCCACCAACCTCATGCAATCTTATCTGTCAAACAGGAAACAGCAAATAAAAATAGGCAATATTGTAAGTTCATGGGCTAATATATCCAAAGGTGTCCCTCAAGGATCAATCCTGGGCCCTCTACTGTTCAATATTTTCATAAATGACATATTTTTCTTTATAAAAAAATGTACTTTATATAACTATGCAGATGACAATACCCTTTCTTTTCGGACTAAATATTTTGATAAACTAATATGTACCTTAGAACAAGAAAGTAACTATCTTATAAATTGGTTTCATTTTAATAAAATGCAAGCTAACCCTGATAAATTTCAAGCTATTGCTGTAGGGAAGAAAACTTTCACTAAATCCCCAGCTTTCAAAATTAATACTAGTGAAATAACATGTGACGAAATTGTAAAACTCCTTGGCAATCGACATTGATCAACAATTAAATTTTAATTTTTCACATAAGCAAATATATGTAAAAAAGCTGCTAATCAGTTAAACATCCTCAAAAGAATAGGTCACAATTTAAATCAAACAAATAGGCTAAAATCTTTTCATACTTTTATTTTGTCCAATTTAATTTCTGTTCTAAATGGCATGGCATTTCTGTTCAGAAAATAATACAAACAAGATGGAAAAACTACAGGAAAAAGAGCACTCAGATTTGTATATAATGATTTTAATTCAAGTTATGAAGATATGCTGATAAAAGTTATATACCACAACTCTAAAAAATAAGAAGAATGAGGGCTATGGCCATTGAAACTTTTAAAATTTTTCATGATATGTCTCCTGCTGTTCTGTCTGACCTTATTGTCAAGAAAACTACTGGTATTAATTTTAAATATTCAAATATTTTTGCAGATCCCACAAGTAAGAACTACAACTACAGGTAAAAAATCTTTCAGGTATGCTGCACCTGCTTTATGGAATACTCTACCCCGAAAAATTTTAGAAAATGTTCAAATTTTGCTCAGTTTAAAAAGTTCATTTCATCCTGGAATGGTAAAACAGTGTAAATGTATTGCTTGCAGCTAACTTCTATATCTTGATTTCTCCACTTTTTTATTTATTTTTTCTGGGTATGAACATTTATCATTTTCAGTTTTTTTTTTTGCTTGCTTTAAATGTGTTTTTTGCTATTCTTCCCTGCTTATGTTAATATTATCATTTAGTTTCTAGATAGGATGTTGCTTTATTTTGTGATCTTATGTTTTGATTTTGCTTTTTTTTTTTGTTGTTTTTTTTTTTTTTTTTTTTTTTGGCTTATCTTTTCCAGCATGACTCAAGCTAGCTGTTAAATGAGTTCAACTAATGACTTACATGTTTAAACCTTCTGTCTTTGTGTAGCCGATAATCCTAGTCTTTCATATTTAAATTATATATTAAAATGTATGTTGTTTTTTAGTATTTTATATTTATTTATTTATTTAAATAATTTCATTAAATTTTTTATTGATTACTCGGTATATTATTGAACTTTAAGTAAATTTTTAGATACTAGACTTTGCTAGTGATGTAGATTTGGGTAAACTATCATTTTTAGTTTTTTAGCATATGATTCGTTTTTATAAATATATCCTAAAAGGTCTATTTTATGCATGTGATGTATATATATCATGTCTAATCATTTTTTATTGTAGCTGTTTTATCTTTGTTGATCTTATACTTTATGTTATTTACAGTCGGTTATAAAAGCTCCTAGAGCTTATGTTGTAATGTTGAAAACTTGCCGACTTGAAATAAATCTTATCTTATCTTATCTTATTACTTTGTTTTTACTAGTAAAAGAGCAAAATAAACACTAATTAATTTCTTCTATTCTAAATAATCCCATTTCAAGTGAAAAAGGTGATATTGTTAGCACCATAAAAAGTTGTTATTTACTTTGGTATAAATTGAACAGAGGTGTGAAGGTGTGAAAGGCAACAAAAGACTGTTGTGTTTTAAATGAAAGATGTTTGCATTGTACAAATGTATTTATACAGTTGACTGGTTACTAAACAATTAGATATGATATGAATATATGTTGTAAATATTGTTTGTAAAAAGTATGTTAAAACTATAAAGTTGTAAATATGTTATGTTAACTTTAAAGTAAATTATGATTTTATTTCTTTGCTGAATAATATTTGCAATTATTTGTTTGACAAACTTTGATGAATATATAAAAGTAATGGTACTGATACTTAATTACTTCACCAAAAAAAGTACTGGTACTGCAGTACCGAGCTAAAATCTAGTACTGGTAATGGTACTGCATAATTTGCCAAGTACTGGTACTTAAGTACTACACCCTAAGTACTGATGCAGCTCTGCCGGCGAATAGTACCACAAGTTTATTGTCCGGTCTCTCCCGGTTTTGGAGTAGATGTTTGATATCGTTACAATTAGAAAAAAACAACAATAGCATGTTTCATTTTATCTATATGAGATAAAAAACCAATAAATATGTACACGGATTTTATATGTAATATAAATCCGTGATATGTACAATAATTGAGAAAAAGGTACATTTTTTATGGTATTTAAAATGACATTATCAACTTTGAACATTTTATTTAATTATTCAATTTGTTAAAATGTGTTAAGTAAAGATGCCGAGGAATTATTCAAAGTTACAAATTAGATTTTATGAATTATTCAATTATCGAATAATTTAAAAAATGATAAAGAAAAATACAATGTACATGTACATGGTTTAAGAAATAAAAACAATATTATAAATTATATTGAAAGATAAACATAATTTACTGACTTTTTTCCAGTTAAGCTTTGACTTATATCGTCGGTCAATATGACAATTGAATTCTTAAAATTTATTTTACAATTTTAAATAAAAAAGAGTAGTAAAACTCAGTATTAAAAATAGCACATAAAACAAAAAAAAGAATAAAAGAAAAAAATATTATAAAAATTGTATTTTTTTTTATAATTAAATTAATAGATATTACAATTATTGTATAATAAACAATTATGCCTCAACATGAATCAACATGGTAATTAACCAGTGTCATATTAAATGAAAATAAGAGGTTATATTGCGTATTTGTTGATATGAAAAATGTTTTTGATACTATATACAGAAGTGCACTATGGTTAAAAGCTCTATAATAATGGATTTCAGGGTAAATGTGGTTAAGAATAGTGAGGGACATGTATCAAAAGTTAAGTCATGTGTTAGAAATTGTATTAACTAATCGGAATTTTGAGTACTGCGTAGGATTGAAAAGGGGAGATAATGTCACCGATTTTGTTCTCACTGTTCGTTGAGATTTAGAGCTTTTTGCAAGATGATGTATAGTGTTCCTGGTTTAGTCATTGATGATATTGTTTAAATTTTGTTTATTATTTGCAGATGATATGGTAATTTTAGGAAAGTCAAAGGAGGAATTGCAGAAAAATTTAAACCTATTGTATGATTATTGTAGTTAAATGGGGATAGAAGTTAATATTGAAAAAACTAAAATTTTATGGTATTTAGAAAAGAGGGGGTTTATTGTTAAATGAACTTGGAACATATAATGGGAAAGAATTAGAGGTAGTGGAACGATTTTAATATTTTGGAACTGTATTTCAATTATAAAGCTTGGAAATTTTTACGCTAAATCAGGAATATCTCACTGGAAAGGCTCTTAAAAGGCTTGAATTATTAATGATTAATTGTAAAAAAAGATTAAGTTAAGGCCTAAAGTTTTATGTCATTATTCGATGCATTTGTTGGTTCGATATTTAAACTACGCAGCAGAAATTTTGGGGTTATACAAGGTCAAAAAGTTATTGAACGAATCCATCTGAAATTTTTGCAAACATTTATTAAAGGTTAGAATAGTTATTGTTCTGTTGGTGTGTACGGTGAATTGGGCAGATACCATTGTATATTAAGCGGTATGTAGCCATGATAAAATATTGGTTAAGATTAATAAATAGTGACAATATTATATTAATGTGTTATGTAATGTCATTGGAACATTGTAACAAAGGTTTTAAAACTGGGTGACCCAAAATGTAAGCTCTATTGATGTGACTTCGGATTTACATATGTTTGGGGACAATCCATTGCGCTATTGATAAAAATTTTGTATAAATATATTTAAAAGGAGAGAGTGATAGATTGTTTTTTACAAGGATGGAATGTAAATAAGGAAAGTTTAGCGAAGTGTTAGATTTGTATAAAAACTTTTAAAAATATTTTTGGATACGAAGCATTTTAGATATTTTTACCTAGTTCATTAAGATGTTTGCCAGAAATAGAATACCTAGAACGAAGATATTGTCAATGTTGCATCACTAGATTTAGAAGATGAATACCACTTTGTTATTATATGCCCTATCTATACAGATTTACGTAAAAATTTATAGCAAAATATTATTATTATCAACCAAGTGTTTTTTAAGTTTTTAGAATTGTTACAAAGCAGAAAATAAGAACTGCTCTTTATAAATTAGGGTTAATACTGTAAAAACGCAATGTCTATAAGAAATTCGATTATAAATATTACCAATTAGTGTAAAAATTGTCTTGAAATATAGAACGTGCTCTATTTATTATATGCCGGTTAGTGTTTATATGGTTGCTTTGGTCAACCAGACTGTGTTAGTTTTGTATATATGTATGTTTATAGTTTGATGTTGTAAATAAGATGTTATTTATTATAAGCTTAATAGTGTTTATATGGGATGTTTCTGGTCAACCGTACAGTTCTAATTTAATAGATGATGAGTTTAATTTAGTTATGCAAATATATTATAAGTAAGCCAAACATTGTTGAAAAGATAGCAAAACTTTAATATGGATGTTTTTCTGGTCAACCGTACAGTTCTAATTAAATAGATTTATTAGTTATATGTCTTATGACTGTGCACAGTTAAGAAAATGTATTTAAGTAGATTATTTTGTCTTATGACCGGCCAAGTTAGTCGTAAGGCTTTTTCTTAAATTACAACTTTGCAATCGAAATATTTTTTGGAATAGCCAATTGTTAACCTTCCTTTTTTTCGTTTAAGGTTAACTGTAGTTTTGGAGTACTATTCCCTTCAAAATAGTATATAGTGTGATACTATAGTTGGTTATTCACTTGTATCGGATGTTGATTACGTATATATAGATAACTTTATTGCAAGTGGCACATAATGTATGTGAAATTTCACGCTATCTTTGTCAATATGTTCGTAACACAATTTAAACTATGTAATATATGTTAAACTGATTATGTCATATCCTATACTGAAGGAAACAAAATAGATTAAATTGTTCACCTTCAAGAAATTTGCAGACTATCCATTGATTTTGTGATTGTATATATGTATGTATGAATGAATGTATTAATGTAATTGACTATGTACTTTGTATACGTCAAAATAAACTTTCTGTTCTGTTCTGTTCTGTTCATATTTTTACTAACTTAAAGTGTGAACAGATACCTTAAGGAGGTCTTCGCCAATAGCGATAACATGTACATAATAAGGGACAAATGTGTGGTACGTGTTGATCATGCGTTACACATATGGATTATAAATGATTGCATACATGTATATCCGTTGCTATTAATAACCACGATCATAAAGAAATAACAAGTAATATTCTAATCTCTAGCATGCCAATCAAAGTTCATAATGAATAATGTCTTTCGTCCGCTCATTCATAAGTGGTATACATTTCTGGTAGTTTATAAGAATATCTTGTCATCATATGTGTACTAGTTCATCTTCACTTGCTGCATTTCTTGTTTGGACGCCCTTTGATGCTTTGCATCAATGCTTTTCTTGTTTTATACTGTTTTGGTGACACTTTCGCTCGTGTCTCTTGTTTCTCGTCTACGGTTAGTATCTTCCCTTTGTCCCTAGTTTTTATTTATTTTATTCCCCCCCCCTTCCCCGTGTCTCATGTCCCTTCCTCTGTGCCTTTTGACATTATGGGCCTCGTATTAAATCATCTATTTGTTTTGTTTTAGTTATTTATAAGTTACTAATTATGTATTCTGATGTAGTGGTTTGCCTGACTGTACTCGGCCTTGTGCCCTGTCCTGTTTTTCTTTGG